ATTTACACAGGTTATAATACTGTATATAATACTGTACAGTAGGCTATTTTACAGTATTGCACTGTAAAAAAACAAGTTATATACATTGAAAAAAGTTACATCAGTCTCCTCTAAAAATATTCCTTCAGAATAATTATTAAAACTAATAACTCATTAGTATTACCGATAAAAACTCACATAATCGATTTATCTAAACGGATTGCGGTATAAAAAAAAAAACAGACTAAATAAACATCACCTTGTTAATACAGGTCCTCTAAAAATATTCCTTCAGAATAATTATTAAAACTAATAACTCAGTATTACCGACAAAAACTCACATAATCGATTTATCTAAACGGATTGCGGTATAACAAAAAACCAGACTAAATAAACATCACCTTGTTAATACAGGTTGAGTGTTTGTTACAGAAGTTAATTTTAAGCCCCTAAAGAGCTCACGAAGTTAACGAGCCGGCTCTAATGCTATTAGCGAGACTTGATCGGCTTGAGTCAAACTACCGAGAGTTATGAGGTTTATATTAGGCAGAAGCATGTGGCAAAAAGAAAAACACTCAAACAGTACAACATACTCTAAACAAGTATACAGGCTACTGTTGCGACAACAAACACTGTGCGCTACGATCATGCAACTCATCTTATGTCTATAGGGTTCGCTTTTGTTTTGTTTCTTGCAAAAGAGGAAGCTGACTGGTTAAATGCAACATTTAAAAGCACATATAGGCCTATATATGCCACATAGGGCCTGCTTTAACATCAGCACAGCTCTGAGGCGCTCTGCTGCACGCGCCCCCGTCTGTATTTTTATGAATGAAGGACAGTATGCAAATGAGAGCGATTCACGAAAAAGAAATGGCGGATATGGCATGTCAGACCACCACAAAGAAAGACGCCAAGAACGGCCGCTCTGCGAGCGCATACGAGCTCGTTGCTCTAGCGTTTTGTGTTTAGAAACTTTGCAGTCGTCTATTCGCTTCCTCGGAGCGCTAATTCGCCTTTAGAGTCGACGTGATATAAAGTATTCAGTAAAGGATCCCTCCACAAAATGTTTCCGCTCGAGCCCCTCCTCCTTCTCGGTTTGAGACCAGAGCCCTGCAGCAGGGGCCCAGCACTCAACTCCCTTTGACACTGCATTGTTTCTTAGTATTAACATCTCCAGCGTCTCTCTCCGAAGCGCACGCACGAATCCCCTGCATCTGACTGAGCTCGGGAGCGCATTCTTGGACACGGGATAAGATTTCCTTTCGCGTCCACATGCGTCGTTTTCGCAAAAAGTGAATACTCACTCGTCTGGGTGCGATTCCTCAGTCATGTTTCCCCACGTTTCACCTACAATAGAAATAATATCCCACCGCGGGCACGCAGCGTTCGGGCTTCATGTCGTCTCGATTTTCCACCTCGCCTTTTTTAAAGTCCAGTGCATCAACGAGTTTCCCCCAAATCCGTCTCTCGGCGTTCCTTATTCTCGTTTTTTCTCCGCGCACTGCACTTTATCCGTCACGGTTTGCAATGCATCTGGTTAATCCTCGCGTTATGCAACATCCCGGTGGCTCTATCGATGGTTTGTCGCCTCGCGTCTCCTGCGCGCTGGTCTCGAGGAGGAGCCCCATCTCTCGTTACTCCATGTTGGATTGTGTAGTCAGCAGCGGGCGAGAGCCGCCGACACTGGAGGTGGGAGGTGGGGGGGTGTTGCGGAAGCAATGACGTCACGTTGGAACGACTGCAGCCCGTTCTGGACTGAGGGATCTCCGGTGTGACGTCCTGCCACCTAGTGCCTCCTCTCACCTTAATCTGTAGGTCTGGGTTATTATTTTCCCCATAAAGCTTCCGGGCTTTAAAACTTACAGTGAACAAAGTTATTATGTCTTGTGGACTGTATGTAAATGTCTGTTATGTGAAAAACTTATTCAGGGCAGAAAATAGAAAAAAAAAAAAAAAAAAGCAAATTATGTTCCCTCTTTTTTTATTATTATAGTATTTTGCAGATTCTGCAAAGGTGTATGTAAACTTAATGCTTCAACTATACATATAGGCATCCTAGAAAACAAGAAAGAGTGCAATATGCTGATAAAATACATAGCTAATTATTTTCCCCATAAAGCATCCAGGCTTTAAAACTTACAGTGAACCAAGTTTATGAGACTGCTGGAAATCCAGTTTAAGCACGGCAGCTGGTTCCTAGCTGGTCTATGGAGAACTTATTAGACTAGCAACAAGCCTTCTACCATACAGGCCCGGTTCTAGGACTGCGAGACATTTCAAAAACCATAGTGCAGCATTATTTTGCAGTGGTTGGTCAGACTTGGTTTAATTCAAAAGCTTTTCTTTTTTCTTTCGGCAAATTGAGAATGATTCACTTTGATTCGTACTTAAATTGTAATATATTACAATAAAATGCATTTAAAGGATTTTTAAAATACTTTATCTAATGTGTCTTGCAAGAAAAAAAGAGATTACTAGGATTGTTTATTGCACAAAAAGTAATTTGAAAGAAATGTAACATATGTATAATTGAAGTCAGTCTTGAAGAATCTGCAAAATGTTAATAATTTAAAAAGGGGGATTATAAAAAAAAAAATGCATTTTGTGTTTATCACTGCTAATTTATAATACTCTTGATTCTTAATTCTTAATACCGTGCGTTGTCACCTGGATGATCAAAACTGCGAACATTCACTGATACTCAAGGCAACATACTGGGATAGCCAAGATGTTGTCAGTAGCCATTGACTTCCATAGTATTTTTTCCTATACTATGAAAGTCAATGGCTGCCGTCAACTCTTTAGCTACCATCATTCTTCAAAACATCTTCTTTTGTGCTCAACAGAAGAAAGAAACTCATACAGGTCTGGAGCAACTTGAGGGTGAGTAAATTGCAAAATATGAAAAATTGTTATTTTTGGGTGAACTATTCCTTTAAGAGCCAGGGGGTGTAAACTTTTGTACATGATGATTGGTGGAAATTGTCTTTATTTTATTTGAAGATCTTTTTTTTTTTTTTTTTTAGTACTGCCCTTCAGAAGTTATATAAAATACTTACATAGTCCCTCAGTTCTCACCAGTGTGAAAAGATGGAACTGAAAATCATACAGTCTATGCAGAAGATGCTGGAAAACCAAAGAATGTACAGGGCATTTTTCTGCAGAACAGGGCAAACATGGGGCTTACCATAAAAACAAATCATAAAAAAAGTTGTGGATGATAATGACACACAGTATTGATAATCAATATATAAACTTTTTTCATTGTTTCATTTGTGTAAATGCAGATAATATAATGTCTTGTGGACTATATGTAAATGTCTGTTATGAGAAAACCTTTTTCGGGGCAGTACTAAATGAAAAAAAGCTATTTATGTTGCCTCTTTTTTAATAGTATTTTGCAGATTCTGCAAGGTGTATGTAAACTTTTTGCTTCAAATATACATATAGGCTACCTAGAAAACAAGAAAGGGTGCAAGGAAAATCTGGTAGCCCCCCTTAGACCATACCAGCTCAAGGTGGTCAGTTTGGTTTTTAGATCCCGGTTGCAGGTTGATCAGAAAATGATCAGCTTGTAGCATATAATGATCTTAAGTTTTGTAGACAAAATTGTATATTTCTAGGCATTTCTTTAGAACATGTGTATGTAATATACATTGGGCCTAAATCTTGACCAGGTAGTCTCAAAAACAAAGAGATAAAATAAGTAGGTAAAATGTGTTGGTTGTTGAACTTGAATCAGGAGTTTCCAGTTTTTCAGACTCTCAGCACAGTCAGAGACAAAGTTATTAAAATGCCATTGCTAGCTTTTCAGAAATGTTTTCTGAAACAAAAACACAAGTAGATTTTGTAGACTTCAGGAAAGTACTTTAGATTAAATACTACTTGTAAGGAGAAAGAGTCTTTAATGGAAATGGTTGGAATAGTGAGGCCGTTTTAAAGTGAATTGTGTTCCAAACCGAAAATCAGTGCGTGCGCTACGCGTCGAGTCAGAGCCGTTCATATGCTGCCACCACGTGGTAAAAGGAGGCGGTTGCTTTACTCACTTTTTTATTTATTTTTTTGGAAATGAGTAGCTATTACCAGTGCACGTAACTTGCGTTACTTGTAATATATTACCCCCAACACTGGCTATTACATCATTACATGTAGCAAAAATAGATCTGCAACAAAAAGTGGAATGTTCCTCAATATTTTATAAACGAGAAAAAGTCTCGGTAAAACAGCTTATTGAAAAACTGTTGTTATTGTCAGTTAACATTATACATTAAACAAGACAAGTTAAGTAAAAAATAAAAATAAAATAAAGAAAGGCATTTAGTCTTCAGCTTCAAGTTAAGCAGTTATAAAGCAATCACGTCAGTGTTGTAGGCTTGGGGAAATCTTTTCAACATAAATAATGCCAGTAGAGGGCGCCATAAGGATGGTTAATACTGGCCATACAGTTGTCATTAGATCACTGCTGGTCTTTTTCCTTCTCCGACTTAGTCTAAATTAGAGGATGCATTTAGTAAATGAAACCTATATAGTGTTCTATTTATGTATTTTTCACACTTTTAGAAATGTACATAGTAACAATGCTAGATATTTCAGTTTACTTTTAAATAAAACTTTTAGTAGGTGTCATCATGTGCCATTATTAGGATAATCATAATAATAAAAAAAAATCTAATTCTAATGCTGGTTTCTAGCTGGTCTAAAGTGGCCACTAGTAAATCTAAGCTGGTCATCTGTTACCTTGCACTTTCAGACTGTTGGTTGGCTTACTGCTGGTCCAGGTATGAAAAGAGTATGAAAGTATGAAAAAAAAACATTGTCTGCTATGAAAAATCGCAAACTTCTATTTGGTTTCTAAAAGGCTATACAGGATTTTTCCGGTGGCCTGCATGCTCGGAATACAGTTGTGCGCTCTTTACGCACGGGTTCGCTTTGGTCTCCCTTTACGTCTCCTTTAAGAAGTCCAAATGACCTCTCCTCCTCCTCCTCCCTCTCCACACTCCTCACATCTCATAGAGGTGTTATTGCATTAAGAATAAACCAGCCATGCGATCAAAGACCCGAATGGAGTTTGCCTTTTCACCCCTTGGCTACAAATCTTCGATTGGCAGTAAATACAGCAGACATCCGAAGCGCACTTTGGTTATTTTGGAGCGTCGAGAACTGGATTTCTAACTCACTGATAGCCAGCGTTGCGTTTGGTGCGAAAGCTGACCAGGAGTATTTGGGTGAATTACGATGTCATTGTTCATCACGGGCACTTGAGCTGGGTGTTCGGGAGAGTTTTGAATGCGGTGTGGGACTCCCCGGGCTCGCTGCACTGAGATCCGGACGTGTTGAGAACAGGGAGTCGGTGACACGGAGTCCTCATGGCGCAACGGGTGCGTAAAAAGCTCAGCAACAAAAAACACTCAAACGTGGCCGTCAAGACTAATTCTACCTTAGACGCTGATAAAAATGGACATAATTACAGTCAGATGTACTTTAATTCCTTGAATGAACAATGTGTGTGTTTAAACACCTACGTTGTTTTGGAATACACACAGCAACAAGTGAAACCACCAAAAAATGAACTCAGTTATTTTTCAATTTTTTTCATAGCACGCCATTTTTCATTTCCGTCTAAAAAACATTTTCTTTATTTAATTTTTTTCAAATTCAAATATGTATTTTTTTATTTTGCAATTATTATCTCAACTAATTCCATATATAGCTGACAGCCAAAAGCGTAACTTGATGCTTACAGCCTGTTCATAACTCATATTTCTCTCGTTGGATAGCCTACTTATCCGAGACCGATTGAATGCTACAAAACATCGATGTTAATTTCAGTAATAATTTTTATACGCCTTTAAAACATTGCTTCACTGTTATTCTAAGTTATATTTTGCATTTTAAATACATTTTTAATTTGCCGTAAACAAGAAAACTCAGTTGAAATAAAAAGAACATTTGATAATAAAAAGATTTCGTTTTAGCCGAATGTTGGTCTCTTATATTACGGTACTTTTAAGATATAGCATTAATTTAAATTTGACATAAGATGTGAATCGAACGTTCCATGTGTTTAAAAATTAAAAACGTGTTCAAAATGTTTTAAGGTATAATGCAACGCATTCATATTTTCCATTGTACGTTCTGGCACATTTAGAAGTCACAAAGAGCCTGAAAATTAGAACTGATCCACCGTTAATAAATTAGTTTTAAGGTTGAAACTACTGACGCGTATTTCGTTAATTAGTTTTGATGCTCAATTTATTACTTTTTAAACAAAAAAGAGCTTTGTTCCTTGCTCATGGCTGCTGTTATATCAACATTTGCAAGATGTGTGCTCAACAAAGCTTTTAACTCCCACATTTTGAATTTGCTCAGTACGAGGATCTGGTCCATTACGGAATGGATGCGGTCGGGATCCCGTCTCCGATGTACGGGGATCCTCACGCGGCCAGAGCGATGCAGGCGGTGCATGTGAGTCACGGCCTGCCGCTTCACCAGTATGCGCACCCAGCGGCTCCCGGGGTCCTGTCGCCCGTTAACGACGCATTAAAACGGGATAAAGACGCCATTTACGGGTATGTGCTTAATAGCCTATAGGCCTGTGTATTCTTGAGTTAGGCTGTAGTGTAGAATTTAAAGGTAAAATATTTTTCAGTAGTCGCAATTGTTATTTTGTGCTATTATTTTACTATGTTCTGTTAGACTCCTTTGTTATTCTGAAATACTGGAAGTAATGGAAATGTTTATATAGACACTGGGATTTTTTTTTAAATAGACTAGCCAACATTTAGCACAAATACTAGGCTACATCAGTTTTTAACGATAGGCTATAGCAATGCCAGAATTAACTTGTTTGCCTGTTGTCACAACCATAAATGGTGCATAAAACCAGAAAATAAAAAAAGTACTTAATTTTTCACATAAAATATATTTCATTTCATTTTTATTGAACGCACTGTGGAGAGAAAAAACACAGGGCCTCGAGCCTGAATGTCCTGTGCTTGAGGCAAATCGTTATTTTCGCCACAAATAGGCTATAAACTCCATTGAATGTGGTTTGTTTTTCAGGCACCCTCTCTTCCCTCTGCTTGCACTAGTTTTCGAAAAATGTGAATTAGCGACTTGTACGCCGAGAGAAAGCGGTGTGGCCGGCGACGTCTGCTCGTCTGAATCCTTTGACGAAGATATTACAGTATTTGCAAAGCAGGTCTACTATATATATATATATAGGGGAGCCTGGGGCAAGATGTCACATAGGGAACTATAAGGTTAGTCACACAAAAAATTTATTCCATAGCAGTGCTTTTGAATGTTAGTTTGAAACATCTAGTTCAAAACCCCCTTAAATTAGGTTTAGTTTTGTAAAATAAAATTGTCCAAACTAAAATATCATACTAACGTTATGTTTTTGTAATAGCATTTTGTTAACAAGTGAACAAAATAAACCATATGATATGAATGAAGCCAGATTATAACCTAAATCCTGAGTTGTGCTTCATAAATGATAAATATTACTTTAAAATATAAATATAACTATAAAATACATATATTACAAGCCAACATTTAGCACAAATACTAGGCTACATCAGTTTTTAACGATAGGCTATAGCAATGCCAGAATTAACTTGTTTGCCTGTTGTCACAACCATAAATGGTGCATAAAACCAGAAAATAAAAAAAGTACTTAATTTTTCACATAAAATATATTTCATTTCATTTTTATTGAACACACTGTGGAGAGAAAAAACACAGAAAAAACACAGGGCCTCGAGCCTGAATGTCCTGTGCTTGAGGCAAATCGTTATTTTCGCCACAAATAGGCTATAAACTCCATTGAATGTGGTTTGTTTTTCAGGCACCCTCTCTTCCCTCTGCTTGCACTAGTTTTCGAAAAATGTGAATTAGCGACTTGTACGCCGAGAGAAAGCGGTGTGGCCGGCGACGTCTGCTCGTCTGAATCCTTTGACGAAGATATTACAGTATTTGCAAAGCAGGTCTACCAACGCTTTATTACAATATCAAAAAGCAGTAGGCCTTCTGATATTAGCAACCAACAACGCAGTCCAATTTAAACGTGTGTGAAAATTGTGCCTCGATATTATGGACTAACGATACGATCGCTATTTATTAATTTCAGATAAGGGCGGAAAAACCTTACTTCTCGTCCAATCCAGACTTGGATAATTTGGTAGGTCGCCCTGTGATTTGAAATCTTTTCAAATCAATTGCTAGTAGTTTTTACCTTAGGCTAAACAATTCAATTCTATTGGATAAAATGAAACAATAATCACAAAACATTTTTGTGACGTGATATGTTGTTTTGTTTTAGATGATTCAAGCCATACAAGTGTTACGATTTCACCTGCTCGAACTAGAGAAGGTTGGACTTTCACTTATTATTATGATTATTATTATTATGAGCGACGTAAATATGTAAATAACATATTGGCCGATCATTGATGATAAATATCTATTCTTATCGTAGGTGCATGAGCTGTGTGACAATTTCTGTCACCGCTACATCAGCTGTCTGAAGGGAAAGATGCCCACTGATCTGATGGTGGATGATAAAGAGGGGGGATCCAGATCTGACGGCGAGGAATTTACACGCACTCCAGGCGGGACAGACCCGGCAAGTCTTTAGCTCAGATCTTTTTGGTTTTCTATGCTTTTGAACAGGCAGTGCTGCATATTCTTGCTTTGTACAGACCCAGGAAGCCACTAGAGCTTTTTCAAGAAAAAGTTATTATATATAAGATAATGATTTCTGTGGGTCTTTGGTGAAAAAAGCGCTTTCCCCCCCAGCAAATAGTTGAGGTGAAACCTATTTTAAGCGTTTTTGTAATTTGTCTATATTTATTATGCATGCAGCTTTTATGAGAGATTATTTGGAATATTTGTGCATGTAAAAATTGTAAATTTTCAACTTAAAACAAAACAATAAAACAGCAGCAAACCTAAAGGCACCTAAATACACTCTTTCCATAATACATTAATATATTTTTTATTTATAATTTCAGTGTTGAATACATTTGTCAGCCATTCAAATACAAAGCAAACTTGAAACACAATCTGGAGAGTTTGTTTTTGTGGGGAGGCCTGAAACTCCTGTTTCATGTGATACAATACGGCCACAGACTATTTGTCCCCCTCCTCTATATTAAATAACAGCAGATAATCAATCTTCTGTCATTTTATAATGAATCGTTTTTGCTCTTTTGAGGTTAAATGAAACTTATCTCTTCACATTACAGTGTTATGCATTATTAAATCCCACAAAATGATTACAGATCATATGATAATTCAGATTATATGTTGCCCATTTGAATTCTGACACAGTAACATGAACAAACCTTTCATGTTACCAAACCTTTTAGAGAGTAAAAGACATTTTTGATTTTATAAAGCAGGTTATTCAAAACTCCCAAATGTCTAATTATATTTGGTTCCTGGGGGAGAAGTGTAAACAAAATGTTTTAGATAACAGTCTTCCTAACTGTTGGTGTCAAACTGCAGCAACACGTGAACTGTGGTCACTAAAGATCAAGGATTTGAAGTGCCTACTTTAATAAAAAACTAATAAATATATGTTGTTATTTCATGATGTGTAAATAATCCATCAGAGTTCATTAACACTGCCAAGTGTGCTGTGTGTGTCTTTAATACCTAATGCAAATCACTGAAGCATTGTTTTTCTGTTTACTGCATTGTTTGCACATATGTTTGTTGTTCTCTGTGAGTTTTGAGTCATGTGATGATAACTCACAGTGCATTTCTCTTAATGATGTGGTTTTGAAACGTTAGGGATTATGTTTGTCTGGTTGAAAATCTTAATTTATTATAAGCGTGTCGCAAGATATTGTGATTCTGAGAAGACCAAACTATGTTGCTATTCTGTGCACAATTGGCAGTGGATAATAAAAAGTAGACTACTTACTTTAGTTTGTCCCAATTTTGAAGCATTTGCTTTCCTAAACAACTCATAACTGAATAAAACATGGAATTCAGAATGTAGATATAAGATACTTTAACGTTTTTAAAATA